TTTCATTTCATTTCATTTCCAACCATATAATAATTAGTATTGTCAATCGTGTCCATTAAGTGAATTAGGGAATATAAATGTTTAACAATCGGCTTCTACTTCAGCGTTTTTGGTGTACGTGACATATTGTATAGATGTGTTGGTTCCACTAGTACCTGATTCAATACAAACCAATAACCACTAATCTATTACATAATATCTCAATTCATACCACGTAATATACCACGTGTAGGCATTAGAACAAATTATAAAACAGCTTTAGCTACTGAAAAGGCGGGAAATTAATCTCAGATTAAAGAGTAGCGATCAGAAATAGTCACTAAGGAATGAATTCATATCCCACACGAATGAACTCGCAATTTTTGTTAGTAAAAAAAGGTTCCATGAAACGTGACTTTCTCCTCGTACAGATTGGAGGTGATGTGGTGTTTGCCTATTAAATTTTAGGAAGATGTTGGCATAACGACGAGAGCTTAACTTGGAAAATGAAAGAGGCTACAGTAACAGTTAGACAGCTGCAACAGTCTTACATTCGTATTCCCGCTGTCAAATGGTAATTTACACCCAAAGTTTGTTGGAGTTTATGGGTATTGCGTCTGATAATTTGATGTATCCGCGAAATTATTTCGTTAGTCAAGTGTGCTTATCAGACGCGGTCTCGTTTATCATTGGTGAAGGTTATAAAAAACCATTCTTGAACCCAACCAACCAATCACTCCAAAAACCTAACCCCTTTTATTGAAAATCATTAACCAATACGCCCCCGACTTCGGTACACTCTCAGATAAATTGAGGTGGTGAGCGCGGTTCATTAATTGCTTGATGCATGTCACTTTATCTTGAGTTGAACGATATCCATTTCTCAACTCTTGTCATCATGCTGCATCTAAGAATAATTATTGAATTTATCATGTATGGTCGTTAAGAAGTTAGAAGGCTGTTTCAATAATTCAGCTTAGATCAAACCTAACACGCAAATATGAAAGAAGACCTGCTTCCGTTATGGCCTACAGCGTGCTGGTGGCATTCTGATTGGCTCACGCGATGGTCTTTTTATAGATATCCAGAAAATGAATTTCTCGTTGATTACTGGAAATAATTTCCTAAATCTCTTAAATTCGCCGGCAATTTATTCACCGTGTAGACTTAAAGCAATTTCCTTTGAGAACTTGAATGATGTATGGCAATAAATAAAAACTGAATGTGGTCTGGTGGAGGTGGGGTGAAGGTCAACGGTCATACGTGATATAAATCTACGTTATGTAAATTATAAACACGAACAGAAGATCGGATATGTTGCCTTTATGTTAAATCTCGTGTGTGTGTGTGGGGGGGGGGGGCATGGTTGAACACATGAGTCTAGCAATAAGTCAAGGGGTGTGGTTTTGAGATACCAAATTTGCATGTGACAAGGAGTAGGATCGCCTATCAAAAGTCGTGGGGTTTCTCCGGATCATCCACGAGATGCAGATCACTATCAGAATATCAGCCATGTTCCCCTTCTTGTGTTTCAAGACACCCTTCTTGGAGTATACTTAGGTCATCTTTTCGAACCAAATATTAGATGTGTAACGACCTTTAGAAATCTAATTATAGACTCAAACTACATAGAAAGGCCCAAAATAAACTAAATAAGATAATTGAGAGAGAGAGAGAGAGAGAGAGAGAGAGAGAAAGAGAGAGGGGGGTTAACGTCCACTCGACACAAACTAGGTCATTTCATGACTAACACATGGTTCAATTTAATTTCAATAATGCGCTTGCGCGTAGGGGTCTTTAGCAGTGGGAGGAAACCGATGGACCCCGGTGAAAACCCACGAGGTTGGACAGGCGACCCTACTCCTTGTCAAGTACAACCGGGGAATCGAAACCACGCCAGTTGACTCAATGGCAGACCTTATGATACAGCGCAAACGTTCTAACCATTCGGCCACCCAACCCTCCCTCTTTTCGAGAGAAAAGATGAAAACATGGTACATGTTGAAAATAATTAAGCGTAAACCATTATTTGGGTAGTTGCTTTTGTGGTGTGAGCAGTTATCTCTTGTTGCACGGTAGCGCCATCGCTTACCTAACCGTAGTTTGGACATCACTTTAATTATATCGTAATGTATATGTGTTTAACGACAAATTATATTTCCCTGTCTCCTACAGGGGCTAAGTGAGAGGGGCGCAATGGTGAGCTTTGCGTCATGGTTTTCAGTATTTGCGCCCCCTCGCAAATTGCAAACAATCCCGTGGTTTCAATGCGGTTTTCAACATTATAATCACAACCATAATGCTCAACCAGTGTTAAACATATACCGTGGGTCTGATATTCTATAAATCGAATCTAGCAATATCCAACACAACCCAATATCACTCGGCGGCACTGGGAGTCCCCCCTCCCCCGCACACACATATAAATATTGTTTTTGGAGCCCGGACGAGATCTTGTTACTCATGCCAATCACTGGTCACCACACATCTGGTCTCCTGCAGTCTGAATATCTTTACGATCAAGATATATTATCTAAATATATTGATAGAGGTGAAATACATCTCTAACTAATGCTTTGACAGCTCTATAAGATACACTATTTCTTAATACATTGAATTGCTTGACATGACACTTAATGGAAAACAAAAAATAAAATAAAAGAACATAAAAATTAAAAGCTACTAATGGAAGTCGTACTGGAAAAAATAAATACAATGACATTCAACTCTCCAACAGGAAGTGAACACGTTAAAGTATCGCACATTAAGCTGCGTGACTTCCGGTAAGATCTCGAGTGTATCGACTATTAGTGTTTAATTTGACTGTTTAAAGGGATATTGCCGGATATTACATGCAGTGGGCCACTGACGAAATGGCTGACGTTGTGAGCTGTCAATGTTCGAACAATAGTACGTCGTCAAACATGTTTAAAGGGATATTGCCGGATATTACATGCAGTGGGCCACTGGCAAAATGGCTGACGTGAGCTATCAATGTTGGAATAATATTACGTCGTCGAAACATGGCAGTTGTGTGTTTCTTTCTATTAAGGACATAGATTGATAAAAGGCTCTGGCGCCTACTAATCGCATTCGATACACCGGTTGACGGATCCCATAAAGAAACGTCTTTAGACCAAGATGGGGTAAAACATTACAAAATGTTAGAGTGCTATTAATAAGACTGGGATAAAATGTCCACAGCGCGCGCGCATTATACCACGCAGCCGATCGGCATGCATAATAAAAGTTGTTGTGGGTGATTTTATGTGTTTTAAACTACGACAATGCTATACAAATAGAGTCTTGTATTACTGAAGAAAGACAGTTTCAATCATATCCTCTACCCACTTGATCAGATAAACACGTTGTTTATGGTTCTTTCTTGTTATATAATATAATAGTTATTTGGAAGAGCACGCCAGGAAGATAACTCTAGTGGGCATCAACAGGAGTATTCAACCGGAAGATATTTCTGCTTGGTGTTGTGAATAAAGTGATAAAAAATCGAGTTATGATACAGAATTTCGCAATATCCCGTTTTCGAAAAAAGAAGAAAGATATTATATTCATTCGAGTCAGTGATTTAATAAAATGCAATAAGTTGATCATTTCAAATAGTTCACGTTGTCAGGTCAATGTGATTGTTGTTATCTCAGCCAATACAGGAGACCTTTTTATTCAGTTAATTTCCTTTTTTATTCAGAGCTTATTATTTCAGTTAACTGCATATGTTTCAGTCTTCTGTAGGTTTTAAAGATGAAGGCAATGAAACTGTTACACTACCTTTGCTATTATATTATATGTCAATGTCACAGTGTCTGTGGTATTGTGTTATATGTCAATTTTTATGTCAATGTCACAGTGTCTCTGTTATTATGTTACAAACTATTTTACATGCCAATGTTATAATGTCTGTGTTATTATGTTATAAACTGTATTATTTGTCAATGTCACTGTGTCTTTGTTATTATGTTATATGTCAATGTTATAGTGTCTGTGTTATTATGTTACAAACTATTTTATATGTCAATGTTACAATCTCTATGTTATTATGTTATATGTCAATGTTACACTGCCTATTTGTTTTATGTGGAAACCATGTTATGTCATATTTCTCTTCTACGTGCTTGTCATTTATAAATAATAAATATACCATATAAATCATATGTATATTCTACCTACTTTGGTCATTTATTAACTATTGTAAATGAAATGTTTACCATTGTAATGAAGATGTTTATCATTCTAATTGAGATGTTTACCATTGTTACTGAGACGTGTACCAGTGTAATTGAGATGTTTACCACCTAATTGTGATGTTTATCATTGTAATCGAGGCGTTTAACATTATAATTGAGATGTTTATCATTGTAATCGAGAAGTATATCATTATAATTGGTATGTTTATCATTGTAATTGAGAAGTCTATCATTATAATTAGGATGTTTATCATTGTAATCGAGATGTTTATCATTATAATTAGGATGTTTATCATTATAATTGAGAAGTCTATCATTATAATTGGGGTGTTTATCATTGTAATGGAGATGTTTAGCATTGTAATCGAGATATTTATCACTGTAATTAAGATGTTTATCATTGTAATGGTAACTATTACAATTTCAGTTTGTAATTGATATGATTATCACTGTAACTGATATGATTATCATTGTAATTGAGATGATTATCATTGTAATTTTGATGTCTATCATAGTCATTGAAAGCATTATCATTGTAATTATGATTATTATCGTTGTAATATATATATTTATCATTTCAATCTATATGTTTATCATTGTAATTGTGATGTTTATCATTGTAATTGTGATGTTTATCATTGTTATTGGGGTGTTTATCGCTGAGTGTGTGTAACAGTAGGTATTGCATGCATAATTGTTTGGTATTGTCATGACAGTTGTTATGAAGATCAGTATGACAATTTGATAGAAATTTAGTGGGATGTCCGGGTGAAGAAAATAAATCTACATTTAAATCTATTTAAAAATTAATCATCTTACCGAGTCTATTTGCAGAACTTCGTCATCTGGAATCCGCCATTTTCCTCCCCCGACCGCTCCACCTCCTCCACCCACAGCACCGCCTGCATTCATTGTCCTATCAGATTCAGGATTATAAAATCCCAATTCATTGGACGGCCAATCCGATTGATGGCTGGAATTTGTAAGTGCAACACTAGACCAATCAGCACTGCTATTACTCAAGTTAAAGTCGTTAATTGTCGTATCAGCATGCAAATTATAAAATCCCAATTCATTGGATGTCCATGGACAATCGCTGGTTTCAAAACCGTGCTTTTCAATCATCCAATCGAGTGTCAATTCACTAAACGCATGGATTCGATTAGTCCATTTATGTGGAAAATTGCGAGTTTTCAAATTTGGAAACCGTTTTAGAAAATGTTTGAGATGAATTTTGATTGATTATATATTTTTAAAAAATATATTGTTTTTCTTCACAACCTAACAAAGGCACCCAATTCAACCATTTGCTAAAGAGCCTCACATACTCAGGAAAGTCGAGTGATGAATAAAGAGTTAAAAATCCAATTACTTGCTTCTAGGAATTACCAAATGTTCACATTATTTGTCAATTATATATTATCTTCAGCTTTGCACTTTCATTTATAATCTGTGTAGTTCTTTTGCTATTTTTAAACAAATCACATTTTTTTAAAGTTTTTTTCCAGTATAAATAATCTTCTGGTTAAGATTTGATTCTGAAAACAGATAATTCAACAGTCCTTTTTGTCCTGTTATTTAATTGATATCATCAGATGGCTATATTATATCCATATATTAGTAGATGTACCAGCTATTCATTAATTAGAACATACAGCCAAATGTATAATGATTATTATCATATTGTAATCACTAACGACAAATACACACGTGATTGTTGTAACAAAAAAATAAGTTGATATAACCAAGTTTATGCTATGTTTATTTGAACTGTAAGCACTAGAATTGATATAATTTACACAAATAGCCCGATATTCGCAATATATAATCGATGTATATTTCTCTCTCAATCAATCGAGATATTTCTATATATGTACAATGTATATCTACTTCAGATCTATATCACAATTTGATCATTCGATAAAGATTTGGCCGTTTTATCTACCGATCTGGATTGTAAACGTAATCAGTAGAGTTCTTCACCATGAAATCAGACATCTACAATCGTTATCGATTTGTATCACAATGTAATCAATTTCTCACAATGAAATCAGACAAATTACAATCGTTATCGATTTGTATCACAACGTAATCAGTTTTTCACAATGAAATCAGGCGTAGTATTTTAATGGTTAAAGATTTGTATCACAATGTAACCAATTTTTCACAAAAAAAATCAGGCGTAGTATATTAATGGATATCGATTTTTATCGTAGCGTAATCAGTTTTTCACAATGAAATCTGGCGTTATATTTTAATGGTTATCAGTTTGTATCACAACGTAATCAGTTTTTCACAATGAAATCAGGCGTTGTATTTTAATGGTTATCGGTTTGTATCACAACGTAATCAGTGGAGTTGTTGTCACAGTGTGCTTATCGATTTGTAGCACAATGTAAACACACGGGTTTTACACACATTTGTTGCCCCAATTGGTGTATATCAGAACCTAACCTATACAGGTTAACGCAGATTATATCTCCAAAATGTTTATACATATACATATATCACAATGTAATCCCTCAATTCACAAAAAGTATCTTGACATTAGTTGAAAATTTTTTCAGTACATTGGTAACACAGTTGTAATCAGCGGAATGAGTATATTATTATTATCCAACAATTCACCCGACAGTAGATTTGTATCACAATGTAATCAATGGAATGGACTATATATAATATAACGGCTATCCATTTGTATCACAGATCAATCATATACGCTATATTTATTTACTTGATAAATCGACAAGGTTGTTGTTTTATTGTGTTTATAATTTCGTACATTTATTTTAGTGAAATCACAACAAACAACAATCGTTGGTTATATCTCATAGCGAATAACATTAAAAAAAACTCTATATATTATTATCCTCGCAATTGAACCTAAACATAATTGGCGGGAATGGGTTACTCCTTATATAATATCCTCAGGTTATACATTAAGACATTAGTATGATGCCAACAAGTAGATGCATAACTCGTTGATTTATCACGTCGCACAATAGCATCACACACCCACTTTAATATATACCCACTTGGTAATTACGTGGATCTGTTGCCGGTTTAGTTGTTTCACTGTGTAATCACTTTAAATGCAGTAGCATTAATTAAATTTATAACAATGTAATCACATATAGAAGTTTATAATTACCTGTTACACTTTAACTCAAAATATAATCACATTAGATTATATTGATGTAGTTGCAATCACAGACTACACTTTAACTCAAAACGTAATCAAATTAGATTATATTAACGTAATCACATAAAACGACCACTCTTTATTTCAAAATGCAATCACAATTGTCATTCAAACTAGTAAGTACCCTTGTGTAATAAATTCTCTTAATGTAGTGTTTGCAGTTTAATCCATTCTGGAACTTGGCATAACATTTTATCACATTAGTCAGTCTCGAATGTTTGAAATACGTGTAGATATAGGAGCGGAATTTCTCAACAAAACAGACCCAAAATAAACTTGTCAGATATTCAGTTCGGTTTTTTTCGGCATTTAATTGGAACCTGTTCTACTTTATTTCGATTCAGGAGAATTGTTAAAAAACACAAAGTATTTCACTGGGTGTCACACACTACATGCGAGTATTAGTTAAGATTAACGTGTTTCTAGTCTTTCCGTCAAATCGTCACATTCCGTTTCACAATTCGTCTTGATCGAAGATTAACGAATAGTCACAAATTATATCAACGTGTTATGGTGCTCGTCTTAAGATGACAAGGTTGTTAACTGGAAGAGCATCATCATATCCTCGCATGTGTTACATCTGTGTAAAATTTATAACAAAATTGAACAAATTGGTAATCGCTAAACACCTCTGTAATGTTGTCTGTAACCGTTGCAAACCGGAATGGAATATACAAGTGTCACTATAAACAGAAATTATTAATTTCTCTATGTGTAATTTATCCCGGCCGTCTTCATAAAATTCTTCTTATACCATAATTTAACCGTCCAAAAGGTTCACTTAATATTTACATATATTCTGGTGAAATTTATTTTCAGTGCCTTGGATGAAAATAGAAATAAAAAGTATGCATTTCACATAATAGCATATTGTTATGCTCTTCCTTTCAGCCAATTAGTAACTTCAGTTATTTGCATCTGTTCGATGTTTGTTATGTAAATCTTTGCCAACTTGTTGATGTGTTTTCTACCTGCTTTCACTAATAAACACTCACAAAACACAATTGTTATTCGTGTAAGCAGAACGTGTTGAACACAATACAATAACTCCTCCTCAAAGTAAAAAACAGTGCTGGAATTTTAACAGAAACGTTATGTTATTCACTAACGATAATTTAATCCATCGTCTCCTGTTTTAAAAACGACTATAAATTCCTTCGTATCGATTTCGCTACTGTTTGGCAATTGACTTTAGAATAGCAATGAATTAAGGGTAGTCCTGAAATTTTAGAATTACCATCTATATTTGATTTTGTTTCAATATATTTAAAGGAGTTAAGGACAATAGAATGCTAAAAATAAACAAAACACCAAATGAACGAAATCAGAACGAGGAAACCAATGTCATTATGCAAGGGAGACGATGGATGCATTCAAAACACCAAGAACAAAACCGCCACATGCAGGTCACACAAATTTTGTAAAGAATTGGCACAGAGAACGACGAACGTTCCGTCATCCATCACAACGGGATTTTTTTTAAAAATGATTTATTGAAATTGAACATTTATTGAGTTACGAAGCATACACTATCAAAAATGCTTGTATTTTTGCTTTGAAAATCTGACCTAAAATGTATTCATATTATTTATTTTACAATTAATCTATGGTCATTTGCATTTTACGCTGGTTTCTAACGATTTCACACTGTTATCGTTGTGACAGATAAAAGTAATAGTGATTCTGCTATCATTTCTGTACAAGCCCACGCATTCTTTGGGTAGTTTATTAGTGCACTGGTACACGCTGATTATCACATAGTAACAACAATTACGGAGAACCCACGCTGGAAAGTCTCGAGGAAATTTCTTTGACAACACTGGGATGGACCTCCTGACACCCTTGTTGGTGAGCCAATGCCCTAAGCACTGAATCACGACTTAGATCAAAGACGTTTAGCACCATTAAATAATGCGTGTTGATAACAAATGCGTTGGCTATGTGGATTTCGAAATAACTAAGAAGTGAAATTAACACATTTATATGGATATACTACTTCTGAATTTTATTAACGTGCTACGTTTCAATACACATACATGTATTGTTATCAAGTCGTTATCAAGCAAATAATGATTGATAACGATATCTGTATGTGTATCGAAACGTAGCATGTTAATAAAATTCAGAAGTAGTATATCCATATAAGTGTGTTAATTTTAATATAATCTATTTCTATATGTCTTATAAGGATTAACTAAAAATTCGTTAATTGCCAGGGTTACATGGAGCTCTGATACATTTACATTTGAAAAGAATTCAGATACGTTCAAATAATAACAACCTGACTTGTTTCGAATGATTTAACATACCTCGTCAGTCTGAATTTATTAATAGCTGTGAATTGAAAAATTTTGATGCTGATCACAAACTTTTCGGGACACATTTTCTACAGCATTCGTCCTCAAATCGCTATCATGTTAACAAAGTTTAACAATGTATTTGGAAAAAGGGGGCGTAACTCGGAATCGGAAGGTCGCGGGATGCTGAATACGCTAGGGTTCGTCATCTCATCACCCCAATGCTTCACACCAAATTAGAAAATAATCCGTTTATATATTGCGTCGTTCGTGCTCACGCGGAAGGTCGTTCTGAATATCGTTAGGGTTCGTCACCCCATGACCCCAAATTTGAAAACAACCCGTTAAAAACCAGGGTCTATCGCGTTAAAGTTTTTTGTTTGAAAGCGAGGTGGGACGGGCAACCTGCCTTTATTCTGAAATGACCCCCCCCCCCCAAATACCATTTTAAAATTTCGAATACATCTTAATGGGCGGGAGTGGAGGGTGGGTGTGTGTGTCAGATATTAATGTATTCTAATTATTGTCCAAATAAAGGCAAACAGTGAGTTTTGTCATGACGTCGTCCGTAATCGTTCAAATAAGCAGACGGGCCAAACTGTCTAATCCTATGTAATCAATATCCGAGAAATCAGCGAAATTATTATTAACAAGAAACATGCAAATTAATCTACGTCGGTCGTTAACTGATTCGGGGGTCAACTCCCGGTGGGTTGGGGGAGGGGCTCATCCTAGTAAAAAAAAAATGATTCTGATAACAGCATTAAGATCACTAATACTGTGTTTTCACGGTCAAGGAAACCAAGACATTATATACTAATGACAATATAAAGATTACCAATCTGATTATAATACAGATCTATATTTCGTTTCGTTTTTTATACTTTCAATGGCCTACATTAAATGAAGATCTGACCAGTTGTTTTGGGAGGTCGCGTCAGAGGTCAGACGAGCGGCTTTTGAACTATGACGTCAAGCATTTGATTAACTAATCCGCATTGATGTTTCTAG